CAATTCAAGGGTTAAGATCCCCTTACCGGTCATCTTTAAAAAAAAAAAAAAAAGTGGGATGGAGGGAGGTGTGCTGGCTGGTTAGTTCAGTTGGTTAGAGCATGCTAATAAGGGACTTGTATCTAGATACAGTATATAAAGAATGCTTACATCTCAATGATAAAAAGACAAATAATCCAAATAAAAAATAGGCAAAGGATATGAATGGACATTTCTTCAATAAGAACAAGAAAAGGTCCTCAGCATCATTACACATCAAGGAAATGCAAACCAAAATCACAATGAGATATTACTTCATACCCACTAGTATGGTTAGAGTCAAAGACAGATAATAACAACTGTTGACATGGATGTGGGGAAATCAGAACCTACATATACTGCTGTGGGAACATAAAATGGTGCAGCAACTTTAGAAAACTGACTGGCAGTTCCTTAAAAGATTAAACATAGAGTTACCATATGGCCAGCAATTTTCCACAATACACCACTAGCCATATACCCAAGAAAAACGGAAACATGTCCAAACAAAAACACACACAAATGTTCACAGCAATAACATTCATAATAACCAAAAGGTAAAACCCTAAATGTCCATCAGTGTATGAAAGTATAGACAAAATATGGTATATCCATGCAATGGAATATTATTTGGCCATAAAAAAAAAAAGGAATGAAGTACCAATACATGCTGCGACATGGATAAACTTTAAAATTAGGCTGAGTGAAAGAAGTGAGACAGAAAAGGGTACATATTGTATGATCCCATTTATATGAAATATCCAGAATAGGCAAATCTATAGAGACAGCAGATTAGTGGTGCCAGGGATTAGGGGGAGAAGAAGGGGAGTGACTACTTACTGAGTATGGGATTTCTTTTTGGGGTGATGAAAATGTTCTGGAATTGATAGTGATAATAATTGCACACCACAGGAAATGTACTAAAGGCCACTGAATTATACATTTTAAAATGGTTAAAATGGTGAATTTTATGTTCTATGAATGTATTAGTCTGTTTTTTGTCACTTAGAATACCCAAAACTAGGTAATTTATAAAGAAACAAAATTTATTTCTTACAGCTTTGGGAGCTAGGTAATCCACAGTCCAGGGGGCACATCTGGTGAGGGCCTTCTTTTAGGTAGGAACTCTCTACAGGATCCCATGGTGACGCAAGCAGTCACATGGCAAGAATGGCAACAGCTCAAAAAAAAAAAAAGGCTGGCCCCGTGGTGCACTCAGGAGAGTGCGGCGCTGGGAGCGCGGCGACACTCCACGGCCGCGGGTTCGGATCCTATAGAGGACTGACCGGTGCGCTCACTGGCTGAGCGCGGTACGGATGGCCGGTTAAGATCCCCTTAATGGTCATCTTTTTTAGAAAAAACAATAATAAAAATAAAATAAAATAAAATAAAAAATAAAAAGGCTGTGCTCTAACCACCTGAGCTAACTGGCCAGCCCCTAACCAAAATTTTAATAGTGTAAATCAGTGTGCTAACATATCTTTCTCTAAAAGAATCTTATGAAAAGGATATAGACATGGCTGGCAGATCAGCAAATTATCCATAGGCCTCTAGGCAAGGGACCCCTGCAAAAAAAAAGCTGGGGGCAGGAGGGCTGGATGACAAGATGAGTGAGTGGGGGCTGAAATCTTTCCCAGGAGTGCTAGGAATGGAGGGTCTTTTTTTTTCTTTGTCATAAAGGCACTGTTTGCTCACCAAACTTTGCTTGAGAGTTGTGTCCACCAGACGGGGAAAGGGTTTTTTTTCTAACTCATCTTATAGGTTAGTTGGGTCCCAATTTCTCCCCATTGCATTATTTTGTTGTTGTTCAATTTTTTAAAAAATTTATTTTATTTATTGAATCAAAATCGGTTATACATATTTTGGGGGTTGAACATTGAGGTATGTTGATTAAATCAATATTACTGGCATATATATTGTTACAAATCATAAGTATTCTTTATGCCCCTTGTCCAATCTCTCCCCTTCCCCCATTCCCTCTCCCTCCCTCCTGTAATTGCCCTAGATTTCTTCTCTCCTTCTGAAAGAACAATGGTTACTCTGTTGAGTTGTAGCCTAGATGATCTGTCCAATGCTGAGAGATGTGATCAGGTCCCCCAATATTATCATAGAGCAGATGCTTCTTCTGTCACTCTGAAATGGGTTTTGTTGAAAGAGACATCCTCTTCTTTTCTTTGTCTCTGCTGGTGACTCTTGTGTGAATGCACTCCAGTGGTTGGTGGACTATCTGCGTGGTGGTTGTAGCACCTAGCCACTTTTGCAGCAGCCATGGTTATTGTGGTGGCTGTGGTGGGCCACCCACGTGGTGCTGTTTTTGGTATGCTCCCTGGCACTGGAGGTATGCCTGGTTGTGGGGTGTGTTTGGTCCCCTTCTCCATGCCTCTGGTCCCTGGGCAGGCCTCAAGGTGTTTGCACCATGTGCCTAGTTGTGGGAGAGGAGTCCAGTCCCCTTCTCCATATCCCAGGTCCCTGGGTAGGCCCTGAGGTGCTGGCGCAGTGTGCCTGTTTGAGGGAGGGCAGTCTGGTCCCCTTCTCCATACCCTGGGTCTCTGGGCAGGCCCCAAGGCGCTGGCGCCATGTGCCTGGTTGTGGGAGGAGGGTCCAGTCCCCTTCTCCATGCCTTGAGTACCCAGGTGGGCCCCGAGGTGCTGGCATTTTGTGCCTGCTATGGGAGGAGGGTCCAGTTCCCGGCTCCATACCTCAGGTCACTGGGCAGGACCTAAGGCACTGGCTTGGTCTACCTGGTTGTGGAAGATAGGTCCAGACCCCTTCTCCATGCCTCAGGCCCCTCCCTGGGTATGGCCTGAGGGACTGGTGTGGTGTGCCTGGTTGTGGGAGAGAGGTCCAGTCCCCTTCTCCATGCCCTGGGTCCCAAGGTGGGCTCTGAGGTGCTGGCATGGTGTGCCTGGTTGTGGGAGGGTGGTCCGGTCCCCTTCTCCATGCCCCAGGACCATGGGTGGGCCCCGAGGCACTCGGTGTGCCTGGCTGTGGGAGAGAGGCCCAGTCCTTCTCCATGCCCCGGGTCCCCGGGTGGGTTCCGAGCTGCTGGCATGTTGTACCTGGTTGTGGGAGAGAGGTCTGGTCCCCAACTCCATATCCCGGGTCCCTGGGTGGGCCCCAAGGCGCTGGCTCAGTATGCCTGGTTGTGGGAGAGAGGTCCGGTCCCCTTCTCCATGCTCTGGGTCCCTGGGCGGGCCCCAAGCTGCTGGCATGGTGTGCCTGGTTGTGGGAGGGGGGTCCAGTCCCCTTCTCCATGTCTCGGGTCCCCAGGCAGGCCCCAAGGTGCTGGCATGGTGTGCCTGGTTGTGGGAGGAGGGTCCAGTCGCCTTATCCATGTCTCAGGTCCCCAGGCAGGCCCTGAAGCACTGGCGTGGTGTGCCTGGTTGTGGGAGAGAGGACCATTCCCCTTCTCCTTACCTGGGTCCCTGGGTGGGATCCAAGTTGCTGAAATGTTGTGCCTGGTTGTGGGAGAGAGGTCCATTCCCCTTCTCCTTGCCTTGGGTCCCCGGGCACGCCCCAAGGTGCTGGCGTGGTATGCCTGGTTGTGGTGGGGGGGTCCAGTCCCCTTCTCCATGCTTCAGTTCCCCAGGCTGGCCCTGAGACACTGGTGCAGTTTGCCTGGAAGTGGGAGTGGGGTCCGGTCCCCAGATCCAAGCCTCCAGTTCCCAAGCAGGCCCCAAGGTGCTGGTGGTGTGCCTGGGCCGGAGCTAGTCTTTTGTCTTTTGCTTCTAACACTGGGCAACTTCCTTTGGGAACCAGTACTTGAGCTGTGTGGTTGTTTAAATTGCTGCTTTACTGCTGTTTCCCTATGGAAGGCTTTTTGTGCTGCTCAGGGTTTAATGGTTGGCCTTATAGGTACTTCCAGCTCTCCAGAGACCCGGTGGATCTGTATTCTGTAGAATCTCTGATCTGGGCCTGAGTTTTTTCATCAAACTGCACCCCATGCAATTCTGCATTCCTGACCAGTCTCCTCTGAGTGGTCCTGTGCTGATTGGGGGGCAGATCAGCTGTCCTTGCTGTGTCCCAGTGTTCCCCTGGTGGGCCTGTCTCCCCCACTGCCCGTGCTCCAAACACTTCCCATGGGACGGGCCCTGTGCTGGTCCCTTGCAATGACTCACTGGCCTCTGAATGGTTCCCCTTTTTCAGTTGTTCTGGCTCCTCGCTCCTGCGTGGGTCTACGTGAACCCTATTAGTGGTCTTATTGTCCTGGCGGCTGCCAAGGCTCTCTTCTCTCCTGCTGCCTCCAAGTAACTCCATCTGAAGGGCACAGATGCGGCTTCTGCTGGCTCCTGCTCCATGCGCCCATCAGCTCAAGCCTTAAAGCAGCCACGCCCGAAATGCTCAGAGCAGCTTTTTCTCTCATCATATTTTCTCCCACCTTCATGAACTCCGTAGGTCTCTCCTCCTCTTCTCCTGAGCTTCAGCCCCCCTTGCATTATTAAACCTCTTCCAGGGTTACCAATGACATGTCCCTATGCCTGAAGCAGGACATACTTTTCATCATCTTTCTTCTTGACCTCTCTAACAGTAGGGACTATTAGCCATTAATAATTGGAACTCTTCCTGTAGCTATCTACAACAACGGTGAACACTTTTACTTCACAACCGCTGCTCCTTAGCTTCTCTTCTTCCTTCTGCCAAAGGTAGGTGCTGTCCCATTGTTTTAACGTCTGTCCTTCTGTTTTTCAGCAGTCCTAGCTCCTCCTGTCCTCTCAAACCTAAAACCCCAGTCGTGACCCTTCTCTCCAGAGCCTTTTCCCAACTCTTTTGATGGACATCTCCAGGAGGATCTCAGGCCAGCTCTTCTAACATGACACACAAGTGGACAGGGGTGGACAGAGGGTATGGGAGATTTACATGTGAAGAGAAACATTAGATTCATACAGTTTTGGCTTCAAGTCAGGAATAATCAATGAGACAAAGTACAATGCTACATAAGACGGGCAAGTAGGTCTGATAAAAAGCAGCACAAGTTGGGAAACTAGGGAGGCTTCCACAGAAGTGAAAGGCAAAGCATGTTCTACAGTGAAAAGATATAGCAGAGGAGGAGACAGCACAATTTGGGGCTTCAGATAGTGAGTCTGTGTGATCCATGATACATGGGCTTATCTTTTCAGTCTTCTCTGTTATCAGCCAAAGCATAGGAACTTAATAAAATGTGTTGTGTGGCAAAAGAAAATGGCAGGTGGGATAATAGGAATGATTTGGGAAGAGGTGGGGGCAGTGAATTCAGACAACTCCAACCACTTCTCAAAAGTTCTCAGGTGCAGCCATGCCTGCCTAACATGACTGATCCCATCTGTGCCTGGGGGTAGAGAGACTGACCCTCCCCCTATCCCCTATAGGGGACAGTGGGGGTTCCCCCACATTTCAGGCACACATATTTATATTATTATTTTATTCCACTTTGGAGCCATCCCTCCTAGTCCTTCAGATGCATCCAAATCAAGAGTTAGGGATCAGGCTCCACTATGATTCTGAATTATAAAATAAGGAAGTTCCAGGAGCCAGGAGCCCTGGCTGTATGATGGTGAGAGGTGTGGCTGAGTCTCTCTTGTAGATCATCCGGCACTTGGATAGGCCAAGCTAGATTGTTCTCCAGCTCTCTCTGCAGCCAGGTGCCAGCATCCACAGCCTAGGCTACCTCTGCTGGGCCAGAACTAGCTGCCTGAACCAGGAGCTCACAGCACCATCCACTCGCATCACCAAAGCTATGCCCAGGAGAAGTCCCACGCTGCTCACAATGAAGCCCACAGCCTCAAAAATGAACCTGCAAAAGAAGGTAGAAAATGTCAAGGCACAGAGAGTAGGTCTAGTGCGTTTTTCCCAGAGTCAAAATCCTGTCCACCCTGGATATTCATACTTTGCTCCAAGCTTCTCCCTCCCCACCATCTCAAGCAAATCTACTCACTTGGGGGCAAACACCTTCCAGACCATGAGATGCCTACGGAGGATGAAGGCTGCCACGGTACAGGCCAGAATCTAAGGGAGGAGAGGAGGGGACAAGTTACTTGGGAAGGGAAAGAAGCAGGGCAAAGGCAGAGTTGCTATAGGCCTCTGTACAAAATGGAAAGAAGAGGAAAGTAGTGTGTGTCAGTGGAAAAAAAACCTGGGCTAAGATTTAGAAAACCAAATTCTTGTCCTGGCTCAACTACTGGCTCACTATGTGACCTTGGGCTAGTCACTATCCATCTGTAATGCTAACTTCCTCCAGAGTGGAGGAAGATGTCAGTGTCACATCTGCCTCTGGAGGAAAGGAGGATCATGACCTCAGTTTGGGAAAGAATCCTAGCCATCACCTCAGCTTTTCCAGTCTATCCATTAGTGGCATAATCCCCAAATGTACCTAGCAGTTTCCAGATCTAGGTTGTAGAGAGGAAATGATCCAGGATTAGGATGAAGGTTCAAGTCTCAAAGTTGCTACTTGAGGCCACTCGGCTTGCAACCACTTCACTTCCCTGTACATCAGTCAAGGCCCTCTCCCAGGTATTTTGAAAGTATGAAAGAATGTGATGCACATTCATGAGAGAAGGTCACTAACGCTTCCTACACCCACCTGAATGCCAAGGACAAAGAGGTACTTTAGGCCCAGCTGCAGCAGCGCTGCATTGAAGTGGTGAGGTGCATCCCGGAGCCGCATCTCCATCAATGGCTCCTCCTCCTCCGGCCTGACTCTGGCCTCAGCTTCATTCCCTGGGGGCTGCTGCCGCCTCTTCCTCGGCCCTTGACTCTCACACAGGAAAGGCCAGAGCAGAAGCAGTGGGCAACCTACTGCCTCGGGGGAGGGCAGGGCTGAAATCAATGGAGGACCCTGGGACCACTACAGTCCGGTCGTCAACCACCCTAGATGGCTCAGGCCCCAATAAGCCTACTCCGGGGAGGCCAATGATCCAACAAAACCACATCTCCTCACTCAAATCCAGGTGTTTCCTTTCTTTCTACAAAGCCAGAATAAACAATGGAAGCAAATGGAAGGATGAAGGGGTACCTGCAAAGAGGAGGTGGGAGGCAAAGGTGTTGGCTCCCACTAGCAAAGCAGGCAGCCAGGTAGAGGAGCCATGACCCTCTGGGAATCCCACGAAGGCTGCATGCCAATGGATGGCTGGAAAGACAGGCTGGTGGCCTGTGGAGTAGAAGGTCTGTGTGGCTAAGAGGGCCCAAGCTGAGACTGCCTGCCATGGCACAGTAAAAGGACCTGGAGGAAAAGATACACCTTTTTAAAGTTACATCTCTTTCCCTAATCCATAGCCTACTCCCCCACAATCATATACTCCTAGAACTTCAGTGCTAATTCTCACACACACTCACATGCCCATCACCTCAACCTCTGTTATTCCAATTCCTTCTGTAGCATAAGGCCCCATCACTCTAATCTGAACTCCAATGTGGTATTTCTTTCTCTCTCTCATATATACACAGTTCACTATGCCATTATATATTCATAATATACCATTTTCATCACTGGAAAATCAGGAAATGTGCTCATGAGGATGCAGCATTTCCACGAGATGTAAGTCTTGGAAGACTCTTTATCTCCCCTTTCCATGAACCCTGAGAGCCAACAGGAGGCATCAATTAGTTTGGCTACGGCAGATATGAGGGAGGACATCAGGAAGACCTTCTATCAGGCAAGGTGAAGAACAAGAGGAGCAAAAAACCCCTGAAAATAAGAGGGGCTGAATTCATATCAATACTATCCTTAGACAAATCAGGGCTGAGATATGTATTTACCAGGGCTGGTGATGGGTATCCCTGCAGCAAGCAGATGTAGGAGAAGGAAGCTCTGCAGAAACAAAAGCAGGAACACAAGGCTGATGCGCTCTGCGTGCAATAGCAGAAGTGGAAAGGCCAACAGGGTGAGGGCCATGACCACAGAAGCTGAGTAGATACTCCCCAACTGATAGGCAGCCACAGTCAGAGGACCCTGAGATTTGGTCTTCTCTAGCCGGCCCCGGAACTCTTCCTGCATGTGTCGGTAGATTTGAGGGACCACATAATCCAGGTCAGCCTGAGAAGTGGGGGGGCCTGAGAAAGGAGTGAGGACAGTCCTGGTCCTTGGAGTACCCACCCCAGCCTTCACTTGAACCGTCACAGGCCTCCAGAGCAGCAGCATGAGCCCTGAAGCAGCCAGCCCTGCCACAGCCCGAGGCAGCACAACTGATGCACCAGCAACGAGTGCCCGGAGACGTGGGGGTGCTTCATCTGCCCCCGATGCCAATGCCCAGTAGGCAGCAGTGCCCAGTACCATTAGGGGCAGCCCCCAGCGCACAAAGAGCATGAGGGGCTCAGGGCTCTTGAGATTACCATAGCGGCAAAGCCAAAGGCGCACAGCAGCTAAAAGGGCCACCAGCGCCCCCACACAAGTTCCATACCACAAATTCTTGGCTCGACCGCCCACCATGGATGCCAGAGGACTCAGCCAAGGAGAGGAGTGGCAAGCAGGTGTCTCTTCAGGGCAGCGATGAAAAAGCCCAGCTAGCCTTGTACATAAAAGCAACCCAACTCCAAGCCTCAAGGCATATGTGCCACTGTGCCTTGGGGGACCTATTGAGGCCGAAGAGCCAAGGCGGGGGATTGTGAGCAGCTTAGGTGGCAACAGCTGGCCCTCCCAGTGAAGCTGGGCAACCAGGAGTAAGATGAATGAGCCCAAAAGGAAGGAGGTGGCCCTGGCCTCAGCTACAACAAAACTATCAGAGAACAAGGCAGCCAAGCGAATGACCAGGAATAACAGGACAGGCCCAGGGATGGGAAGTAGGGTTGCCAGGGGCCTCTTGGAACCCCAGCCAGCCCAGGCTTTCCACAGAAAAGACAGGAGTGAGCTCACTGCAGCCATGGCACCTACAACTACTGGATCCAGCTTCAGCCCAGTAGTTGCCAGGAGTCCAGCATACACTATGGCCCCAGCCAGGCCCCAGGCCACAGGTATCAGGAGTAGAGGGCGGAAGGGGAAGCCTGGGGATGTTGCCCACTGGGATGCCAGCAGGCAGAGAAAGCAGGCAGCAGCCAAGAGAGCAGCACCCCCTGCCATGCGGACCAGAGAGAAACGAGCCCAAGACGCGATGCATATAGCCCGAGCTCCCCGCAGAAACTGCTGCAGCTCAGAAATCACAGTCTTCAGTGTGGCCTCAGCCCTTTGGGGGCTCTGCAGAAGCTGCTGGTAGTCAGCAGAGGCCTTGGAGAAAAGGTTCTGCAGCTGATGAAGCTCTTTAACTTGGAGGTCCTGAGTAGCAGCTGAGTAGGTGCAAAGAAATCGGGACACCTGGCAGAAAAGGTCAAAAACCAAGGGGACTAGGTCAGTGATACAAATCAAGGCAGAGATAAGGATAGATATTACAAAAACGGGTGCCTAGAAATCAGGGACACAAACTCTGTCTGGGATGAGGGAAGGGAGGGACAAAGGAAGGGGGACATGATTATGAAAGGTGAGATTAAGATTGGACTGGGCCCGGGGCCGGCCCCGTGGCGCACTGCTGCAGTGCGCCGCTTGGGAGCGCAGTGGCGCTCCCGCCGAGGGTTTGGATCCCACATACAGACCGGTTCCCGCTCACTGGCTGAGCGAGGTGCGGGCGCCGCACCGAGGTTTGCGATCCCGTTTCCGGTCCCGGTCTGGTACGGGCGCGACACTGAGGGTTGCGATCCGTTGCCGGACACGAAAAAAGACAAAAAAGGAAAAAAAAAAAGATTGGACTGGGCCAGCCCGTGGCTCACTCGGGAGAGTGTGGTGCTGATAACACCAAGGCCATGGGTTCGAATCCCATATAGGAACGGCTGGTTAGCTCATTGGGTGAACGTGGTGCTGACAACACTAAGTCAAGGGTTAAGATCCCCTTACCAGTCATCTTTAAAAAAAAAAAAAGACTGGACAAAGGACAATGCAGTGGGTCATTATGCTTCTCTCACACCCACCCTCACTGTCACCTGGAAGCCTAGCCCCCCTTACCTACCTGCTGGGCATTGAGATAGAGAGCTGAGGCTTGGGCTAGAGAAGAGGAGTGGGGCTGGGAATCCTTGCCCTCTGAAAACAGCTCAGCCATCACCTCCCCGATGTTCGCAAATGGGATAGGCAAGCCCAGCAGCAGGGCCAGTGTGGGCACAAGGCTGATTTGAGGAATCACCTCTGGCTCCTAGAGGGAAAGAAAAGGGAAAATGGGTTCATCACAAAGCTGATGTCAAACACAAAGCTGATGTAAACAAACAGTATTTGGGATGGAAGACATGGGGCCTAGGTAGGAAATGAGAGTGGAGATACCCAGGATCATGGATTTGGGGGCCTAAAATAGAAGGATCCATGAGGATGCTGTGATCATGATGTGGGCTAAATACTGGGAGATGTCAGTTGGTTAGAGCGCAACCTTGTGACACCAAGGTCAAGGGTTCAGATCACCATACCGGCCAGCAAAAAAAAAAACTGGGAGATACACCAAGGCACATCCCAGGCCTCACCTGTGGTGGGGTACTGGAGAAGAGGGCTGTGGGGCTGTAAAGAAAGAGTGCGGCTGAGACTTCCAGCTCACTGTCTCCTCCATGGTCCCCAGTCATGGTCATCCCATGGTCACCAGCCACCACAAGCAGTGTGTCATTCTCCAGACGCTCCACAACTCCCCTGGGGGCCAAAAAAAATGTGTCAGGAGGTAGTGATGGACAAAGACTTTTCTCAGGGGCCCTTTCACCTCCAGCTATGACTTCCATTAGTAGGGCCTAGATGTTTGGCAAAGAGACACCTCTTTGGCCATGGCCCTGCTGCCCAAAGTCACACACTGAGTTATTCGAGATGAATGAGGTCCCTGGCTTCAGAAAAAGTCCTGGAGACAGAATTCAGCAACAAAATAAGATAAGGAATTCCAAGATAAGGAATTTTCCTCCTGGGACCACATATCTTAAGATTCTTAGACACAAACCCACTCCCCCAGCCAATACCCCACACTCACTGGATCACCTGGTCCATTTGGCTAAGTTTCTTGGCCATTTCAGGGTGGTGAGGGCCATGCTTGTGACCACAGTGATCCACACCCAGGAAGTGAGCAATCAGCACGTCCCATTCACCACTGTCCACTGTGAAGGGGAGAACACTAAGCACAGGGAACCCAGCCAGGCTTTGACACTCCTCTATGTCCAAGGACACAACCCCAGGCCTTTACACCCATGAGAGGTTTAGAATTTGTGGACTAAGGGCCGGCCCGTGGCTCACTTGGGAGAGTTTGATGCTGATAACACCAAGGCCACAGGTTCGGATCCCCATATAGGGATGGCCGGTTAGCTCACTTCAGAGAGTATGATGCTGACAACATTCAAGTCAAGGGTTAAGATCCCCTTACCGGTCATCTTTAAAAAAAAAAACAAAAAAAGAAAAAAGAATATGTGGACTAACACAGCCCTCCCCAGCTCCCAGTCAGGGACTAAGTGCTCTGGCCCCACGCTCACTGGTAGGGTAGAGGTGTTCCAGGATGCCATTGTCCACTGTGTGTAGGTCTCGGACATTGAAGGAGGAGAAGAAGAAAGCTTGGGAGAAAGCTCCAGGGAAAAGGTTTTTCCAGGTATCATCTCCCATGAAGACTACACGCTTTCCTGTAGGGACATGAGAGGAGGTCAGAGCCTGACAGGAGTCAGGGCAAGGGAAAAGAAGAGAGGAGACCCTTTAAAAACCCATCAGAAATCCCAACCATGCACCCTAAAGCACAGCAATTCTATTGGCAACTCATCCTTCAGGGCCTAAAAGTTTCCACCTGAAGCTTTCCCTAATCACCATACTTCCCCCAGACCTCTCACTCCTCATTCCTACAAAATGCTCTGCTAGTTCTCACTCCTTGGATATCTCTGCTCATCTGTTTTTCCTGGGTGTATCCTGCTGTTTCTGTCAGTGAGTGAGCAGGGCTTGGATCCCTCCACTCTCTTCTCCACACTTGGGAACCAAGACCCTTATCTTCTCCTCATCTCTCCCCTGACCCTTTACTAAGAGCTCCCCAAGAGTGAAATGAACACTCCATGCAAATTAGAAGTTTCACAAAGACAAAGCCCATATCCCCTCTCCTTTATCCCCCAAACTGAGCTTCCTACACACATGGCCCTGGTCTCCTTCTCCTCCCCTATTCCCCACATGATGGTCAAACATGCAGCTGGGTACCCAAAGTTCTGGCTCCTTGACTTTTTAATAAGACATCTGCCAAGGTACCCCTGGCCTCCAAAGGGGCCCAGACTGACCTGCACTGGTGAGCTGCTTAATGAGATTGTCTTCCACTATTGCATGACTGGCAAAATTACTGCCAGCATCAATAAAAGTAGGCAGTGAGCCAGTGGTGAGGGCCTTGAGGCGCTGCATGGTGGTGGTGGGGGGGTCAACCTGAGATCGGTAGAGCCGGGCATGGTGGGGCTGAATCTCCAGGATCCTCTGCAAGGAGCCTAGTTTGCCCAGGAAGGTCAGGGAGACAGGAGGCTCGCCAGGCACGTTTGAAAGCTGGGGCTGGGCAAAGTCAAATCGCAGAGCATCTATCAGCACCAACACAACCCGGGAGAACCGGGAAGCCATCCAGCAGGCCCCAGGCTTCCCTTGGCTCCCCCATGGCAGGGACCCAGGGCCTGGAGGCTCTTGGCAGCTGCTATGGTTGGTGAGCTCCAAACGCGTGAGCAGGAAGCCACTGGTGAAGAGAGAAATGCCAGCGTAGAAGAGAAAGCAGACCCAGGCCAGGAAGAGAAGCACTGGGACCTTCTGCATCCTGGTAGGGGCAGGGGAGGAAATTATTTATCACTGTGGGGGCAAAGAACCAGTGGATATTCTTGTCCCTCAATACAAAACCCAGCTAGAATCACTTCCTTTTGAAAGCCTTCCTGGAGACAAACAGTCCCATACTAAACCCATTGCAATGTTCCTCTCCACCTATTATACCAGGGTTTCTGAAGGTGAGGTCCCCAGATGATGGGCATCAACCTGGAGCTGTTGCTAAAAATGCTACTTGTAGGGCGCTGGCCAGTTAGTTCAGTTGGTTACTGCCGTGATGCTAATAATAGCAAGGTCAAGGGTTCGATCCCTGTACTGGCCAGCCGCCAAAAAAAAAAAAAAAAAACTATTCCCAGGCCTCACCCCAGGATCTTTGGGGGCGGAGCACATGAATTTCCACAAGTACACCACGGGATCCTAATTCTAAAAAAACATAGTCCACAAGGGAAACTTATTCCAAGTGGTAGACTGCTCTCTGACGGGCCGTTTCCACCCCTCTCGCCAATGCTAACACCCCTCGGGTGGCAAGGGCTCGCAGCCTCAGGGGAAGCCGGGCCCTGCTGAAGGGGCTGCCTGGTGGGGACCGAGGGGACGAAGGGGAGGAGTCACGCTCCACTTCCGGGCGGCCAGGTTCTCCAGGAGACCAGAGGCACGACCTCCCTCGCACAGCGGGGCAGAGATGCGGGTCTAAAGCCGGTTGGGCCTGGCCGGGACCCAGGCGTCCGGGCGGCTCCGCCTCCTCCGGTGGCTACTCGGTTTCCGCCTGGGCACCCTGTCCCTGGTATTCGGAACCTTTCCCGCGAGGTGGGGGGGAGAGGGGCTCCCTTACTTTGAGGTGAAGGGAGTGTGAGTTGTTAGACCCTGCCTCACCTGCAACGGCGCCCGGAAGTGCGGCGGCGGTGCCTGGAGCCTGGCACCACAGAGATGCACGTGCCAGGCAGAGCGGCCTGCCGGGAGCCCCATCGCCATCTGCCGGCACCTCGGTGGAAGTTCGGCTAGGGGCGTGGGCTGGCTAGAGAGTTTGGTGGAAGATGTAATTTAAGAGAACTGGGAGCAAAGGACTAAGCTAGAAGAGTTCTGGGAACCACTGTCCACTCTCAGTTAAGACTATGATCACGGTCTATGAAGTTAAAACTGGCTTGAATCCTAGCTCTGCCACTCATTGTCATTATCGGGCATTACCTCATCTGTAAAATGGGAATAGATACTTATTTCCCCCTTTTTGCTTAGCTTACTGTGATAAATTTCATTATTCCTATCATGGCCTCTTACAACGTAATAATAAAAAAGCAAATAATCCAATTAAAAAATGAGCAAAGGATCTGACTAGACCTTTCTCCAAAGATACTCAAAAAGCCAGTAAACACATGGAGAGATGCTCAACATCATTAGCCATCAAGGAAATGCTGTAGATTCCACTTCAAACCCACTAACAGGGCTATCATTAAAAAGAAAGATAATAACAAGTGTTGGCAAGGACATGCAGAAATTGGAACCCTCTTACACCGCTGGTGGGATTGTAAAATGGTGCAGCATCTTTGGAAAACAGAGTTATCACATGAACCAGCAATTTCACTCCTAGGTATATACCAAAGAGAAATGAAAACATGTCCAAACAAAAACTCGTACGTAAATGTACATATTAGCATTATCCATAATAGCCAAAAGGTGGAAACCTAAATGTCCATCAATGATAAAAGTTAAACAAAATATGGTGTATCCATACAATGTAATATTGGGGGGGAAGGGGTTGATGAAATATTTTAAATTTGTGGTGGTTGGACAACTGTGTGGATATAGTAAAAATACCGAATTTATATTTTAAATGGGTGAATTGTATGGTATGTGAGTTATATTTCATAAATGTACTATTTCTTTTTTTCCTAATAAAGCTAGTATTAAAAACAACACAAAATCTCTCCAATAGTTTTTCATCTCAGAGTAAAAGCCTAAATTCTTGGAGTATCAAGAGTTCACATCCCTGTACCGGCCAGCTGCCTTAAAAAAAAAAAAAGTTCATGCACTGCAAGTCTACACACTAGCTCCCACTTCTCCATGACTCATCTAGCTGCAACTTCTTTGCTCCCCTAACTGTTCTATCCACAGCAGCTCCTTTGCTCTTCCAGTTATAAGCCGGGCATGCTCTGCTTCAGGGCCTTTGCATTTGCAATCTTCTGTCAGCTTCACTCCCAGGGGCCCAAATAAGTCTTTCCCTCATCTCCATCATATCTAAGCTCAAATGTAACATCAGTGAGGCTTCTTGGAACCCTCTACTTAATATTACGACCATCCCCTTGCCTGCCAAACCCCCCATCTCCCTTCCTTTCTTTAATTTCCTCCATTCCACTTGTAGAGAAAATGGTCAGGGCCCCTCAGATGTTCAGAATCTTGCCCAGCATTTGCTGTAAATAGCCACATGCGCCCAGGTGTTCCTTGGTTACTATCTAATGTAACTGCACATGGACACCCAGGTGTCCTGGTTTATGTATTTAAGTATAAAGGACTAACGGCTCTGATACATGGCGCTTCTCAGGATGCCCCAGGAGGCCACTAGGATGGCTGCTCCTAGCTCTGAATAAAGACTATTAATTTTTTACCCATGGCTCCCAGGATCTTTTCCTATTACCTAGCTCATGGACCTGTGTGTGAAAGGTTTGTGACCCAGTCTGTACAATGGGCTTGAGGGGTCTGTGAGCCCCAGCCCTAGCAATACAGCACTACTCATCAGCGTCTGAAATTCTATACATCATAATGTATGATTTATCTTCTCCAAATAGAATGTCAACTCACTGAGGGCAGGGATTTTTTTTCTTTTTTTTTTAAAGATGACCGGCAAGAGGATTTTAACCCTTGACTTGGTGTTATCAGCACCACACTCTCCTGAGTGAGCCATGGGCCGGCCCAAGGGCAGGGAATTTTGTTTTCTTCATTGGTATATCCTCAGTGCCTAGCATACATTTGGGGTTGAATAGATACTTATCCTAATCCAGAAATGTGTGAGATCATTTCTCTACTTCCATTCCCATGGACCCTTATCTTAGTTCAGGCCTCCTTACCTTCTCCAGGATCACTGAGGCAGCTTTCTTATTGTCCTCCCAGCCTCCCACCTCTCCTTCATATCTTCTTTACATTGCAACAGGATAGCTCTGTCTCCAACATTAATGTGATTACTTTTATCTTCTTAAAATTCTTCATGGGAAGGGACCCTTCATGGTTCCCTCCTACCCTAAGGATAATGCCCAAACCCTTCAGAACTCTAGAATCCTGTAATTTGGCCATTGCCATATTGTCATCCCCCCAACACCCTATCCTTCAGCCATAGTAAATAACTTTTTGAATGTTCCAACTTCTCTCAAGCAGTGAGCCTTTGCATATTCTAGTCCAGGCCCTAGGTTGGGGAAAGCTTGTTAATTTTCCAGCCTGAGCTCAATGGCAGAGTCAGCAACCCTGCTACCCACAAGCTGACATGCTCCTCTCAGAATCCCTCAGGCAGAACTTCCCTCCATCACAGCATTTATCACTTTCTATCACCATCTGCTTACTTATTTATCTTCCCTATCTCACCTTGTATTCTGTGAAAGCAGGAACCATTGGGTCTCCCAGAACTTCCCTCCATCACAGCATTTATCACTTTCTATCACCATCTGCTTACTTACTTATTTATCTTCCCTATCTCACCTTGTATTCTGTGAAAGCAGGAACCATTGGGTCTCAGTTGTTTTTGTAACCCCCGTGACTAGCACTGAGGTCAGCACATGGTAGACATCATTAAATATTTTTGAATGAATGAGGAGCGCCCTCAGTCTCTGAAGACCCTTTAAGCCTTCAGCATTACTATCCTGCCAGGGCAGTCCCCTTTCCCATAAAAAAATCCCCCTAAAACATCTGCCTTGAACACACAGTCCCACACTTAGTAGGAAGGAGACTACACTCTCCAGCTGGCAGTCCAGCAGACTTGTGATTTAATCCTTGCATCCTGTCTCACAGCTTCTCTTGAAGACAGAAAGGATGATTTCAAGATGAAGTCATTCTTGCTCATAGAGGCATCAGCTCCCAAGACCTGACAGGACTGGAGGGTAGGAGTGGACATCCAAGGAAAATGCCAGTGACTTTCCTAACTTCATTCCCCAATCAAAGAAGACAGTTTCTGGTTCGCCACTGGTGAGTTTATTACACGATTAAAGTTCAAATAAAAAAATAAAAACCAAAATCTTGGCAGGGAGGCCAGAGCCAGAACCTGGGAGTGCTGCTTCCCTGTCCCCAGACTCCCTGGCCAAGCCCAGTTCCACTAACTCAGTTTGACTCGATCAAGTTCCTCATCAAGACTTGCATCCGTGCCCTGGACATCTCTGCTGCTCCCACTGGAGATCGAGTCCTGGGACCCTGGCACTGAGGCTTTAGTGAGGGCCCCATATACACCCATGGCCTGAAGGGACAGAGAGAGAGTCATGAGGATACCTGGAGAAGGTACAGACCAACCCACCAATGGCTAAAAGGAAAAAGGTGAGGCTGGGGCCAGTGAGCTTGGTTTTCCTTTTTCCTTCTCTCAAGCCTCAGTCTTACACACTCTGGAGTCAGTTCTACAAACCAAAAGAGTAGGACGACCCTCAGAATACTACCACAGTTACTGTGAAAAGAAGGTATCTCAGAGCTTCCCTTACTGCAGGGATAAATAAGTGTGCCTTACTCTTAGTGATTCCCTCTCTATAGGGAATGAAAGGAGATCTAGTGCCAAAGAACTCTGAAGACCTCTATGGTGTGTAAGTGGTGATAGTGGTGCTGGGATCTCAGTCCCTGGCACTGGTGCTCTGCACTGGGTCCTCAGAGAGCTCTAACCTGAGCCACCATACTGGTGACATCACCGGGATTGGAAGGCAGTAGGATAGTGTTGGAGTCCTTGGCCAGTTTAGAGAAGGCGTTGACATACTGCTCAGCCACAGTCAGTGAAGCTGCTGCATCTCCATTCTGTGGCCACAGAGGGGATAAAATCAGAGATCACAGATTTGGAGAGTAGGGGGGAAGTAGAAAAGGGAGATCAGGTTCCTAGAAAGAGAATATGCAGGTCACAATACAAAAGAACACGTAATCTGGCTCAATGGAGCCCACAAAGGCAGGAACTCCCCATAAGAGGTGAGAACCCCTTCCATCGTCAACT